GATGATTGTTCTAGTCTCAATGGAAAGAAACGAAAAGCCTCAAATGGGAATGCGTCAGATGAGTGGAATGCTAAGAAGGAGCAAGCTGAAAAATTGGTGGGGCTATCTGTGGCTGCTGCATACTACAATCTACCTAGTCTTATCAAGAAGATTGAGAAGAGCATATCAGGATTCTACCCATCCTTGTCATTGATGGTCTTGGCCACTTGCCGCAAAGAAGGACCCTCTGTTCCATCAGCATTGCTTGAGCTGGCCTGGTCATTGGTTCGATCCGACAGCAAAACACTAGCAGATACAAAGGCAATTGCATGTGTGGATGCAACTTTGGTGGAAGAGATTCTCAAGGATGATCAATCGGCACTGAAAGAATATGATCTTTTCATCTTTCTGACACAATGGGTTCAAATCAACCCAAACCATCGAGCAGCGCTTGCTAAAAAGTTGGGAAGCAACCTTCAGCTTGAAAAAATAAGCCCAGTTGATCTATCCACTTCAGTTGCCTCATCTGGACTGTTCATGCCTGATGAAATAAATGAAGCTTACAAGAAGCAAGCCCTTGCTGCTCAGCAGGCCCACGCATTGTCTTTTCAAGGATCACGATCCACTTCAGTTGCCTCATCAGGACTGTTCATGCCTGATGAAGTAAATGAAGCTTACAAGAAGCAAGCCCTTGCTGCTCAACAGGCCCATGCATTGTCTTTTCAAGGATCACGAGGTGCCCGTTTCTGGAAAAAAACTCTTACAACAGAGACTGGTTCTTGTAAGTCTGATGTCACCACCGATTACCTCAATATTGCTCCCATCAAGGAAGGAATCCATAAATGGACTGCGAAGCTATTATCGGATGACGGTGTAGGAACGGATGCTAGTGCTGCGTTTGGAATTGTATGCACTGAAACTTTTGTTGAAGATGATTGTCTGCTAGGCGGACAAGCTGGGGGCTGGGGATTTGATGACTGTGGTAGTAGTTGCAGCGAGGGGAAATACACACTAGAAGGTGCTCGATCAATTTGTACAGACGAAGAAGTCAACCTGACACTCAATCTTTCTCCCAGTGAGAAGGGAAATGGCACATTGATCATTTCTTTTGAGTGTGAAGGAGACAAGTGTTCCTATGAAATTGCCAGCAACCTACATGATCATCTCAAGGGACATTTTGGAGGATTTCTTCCTGCCGTCTCAACCCACAGTGGTGCGTGTATCGAGTTTGTGAGAATGAAAACAATTCAAGAAGGCTAGATATGGAGATGCTTCAGGTCTGCGCGCTGGCGGCAAAAATCTGAAACAAGGACCTGGTACATCGTAATACTATTAACTACAAAGTGTAAGACAAAGTGCACCTCCACCATGTCCAAACCAAAAAGGGGGTACCGGTACCATACCAGTACTCGGGGCCAGCGGCTGTCTGCTAACGAAGCGCCCACTGGCAGCAAGAGAGGTGCACCGGACCGGCAGATTCGATACACGGAATCCAAAAGCTGGTACACCGTGTTCAGCAGCCCATTCCCTCCACGAACTTGAAGCCTAGGGATCGGATGCTTGATGGTGGCTACCAGGGCCGGTGGAGGAGGGTAATGTAGGCTAAGGCTAGGTGCTGATGGTCGGTCCAGTTTGCTCCGTTCCTTCGCTAAGATCAGAGGCCGTTCCTCGAGTTCGTGCTCGGGCCATGCGATGTCGTATTCGGTCGTAACGGGCTTGATCTTTCTTAGATACCGAAGGCATGACATGGTCAAAGGCGTAATCGAAGTGCCGCGCCTCGATGCAAAGATCTACGCCCTCTCGCTTTTCCTTCCTATCCAAATCTTCTTTCAGCACGGCCAAACCAGCCTCGCGCAGCAGGGCCGCACAGTCAGCTCCACTGTAGCCATTTGCCTTTTCGCTTCGTCCAATGGTATCCAGCACAACATCTGGACCAAATTTGACTTTTGCGGAGAGAGCCGTCAATATAGAAACCCTGTCATCAACGGATGGCAAGGGAACGTAGAGCAGTTTGTCGAGTCGTCCACTACAAAGCAACGAGACGTGACGGAAGACCAACAGTTAGATTCAGAAGAGGCAAACCAGAGGAAGACATGCTGCATTGATGGAACTTACGGCCTCATCATCGCAGGGTCTACACAAGCAAAAGACCGCAAGCGAGCAAGGAGGATGAGCAATTCCACAGTAATCCAAAGCAACACCTGCGTGATGACCTAGGATACTGCAACTCACCAATCAGTTCTGGTCTGTTTGTGGCAGCAATCACAAAAACACTGCGCCTGCTTTCTAGACCATCCATTTCCGTAAGCAGCTGATTGACGACACGTTCACTAACACCACTACCTCCTTCTCCGGAACTTCCCCGCTTGGGACATAGCGAATCCTGCAATGGCAATCATCATCGCAACGTTAGCCTAGGAATGACAACTTGCATAGCGCTTCTTTTTGCTTTCTTTCTCTTCCATTTACTTACCAACTCATCAAAAAAGACAATGCATGGACTAGAACTTCTGGCACGTTCAAAGACGAGTCTCACGGCTCGTTCACTTTCACCCACATACTTGTCCAGCAATTCGGGTCCCTTGACGCTGATAAAGTTGGCTCCACTTTCGTTGGCAACAGCCTTGGCCAGCAGCGTTTTTCCACAACCCGGGGGTCCGTACAAGAGAACTCCAGCTGGCAAGGAGAGGCCGAGCATTTTGAATTTTTCGGGATTCCGAATGGGTTCGAGGACGCTCATTGTGATTTCTTGTCGAATTTCGTCCATGGCTCCAATATCGTCCCAGGTGATATCGGGCACGACAGCAAATCCTTCTCTCTTTCCAGACGGTTGTACTCGTGGAACGGCTTCTAAAAAGTCGTCCATTGTCACGTACAAGGGATCCAATTGCTCCGGAGTCAGAGGCGGTAGCTTCCGAATCTCATCTTCCGTACTGTTGTTGTCGTCTGTTGTTCCCTTTTTACTTTCAGAGGAACTATTGTTGTTGTTACTGTCATTCACGACAAGGACGTTGGAAAAGATTCGATTGACGGCCACTACGGCTGCTTCTTTGGTCAAACTCCGAATATCGGCTCCGACAAAACCCGGTGTTTTCTTGGCGAGTAGAGTAAAATCAAAATCTCCCGACAATCTCATTCCACTCGTCATGGTTTTGAGAATGGCACATCGCGCCGCTTCGTTGGGGACACCCAATTCAATTTCTTGATCGAATCGTCCGGCCCGTCGAAGCGCACTATCGAGTGCATCCGGTCGATTGGTGGCGCCCAAGACAATCACCGAGGCATCGGTGAGCGATGTATCCATACTGGTCAGCAACTGTGCCACCATGCGCTTTTCCATCCCTCGTCCGGAATCATTGTTGCGTTTGGGAGCAATGGCATCCAATTCGTCCAAAAAGACAATACTGGGTGCCGCTGCGGCAGCTGCCTGGAACAAATCTCGAATGCGTCGTTCCGATTCTCCCGACATGCCCGCCACCAATTCGGGGGCACTGACGCGAAAATAACTAGCACCGATAGCACCCAGTTCACCGGCAATGGCATTGGCCAAATGAGTCTTTCCCGTTCCCGGTGGTCCGCGCAACAGGATTCCCCGCGGTGGTGTGACACCTAAATGACGGTAGACTTCGGGACGCACCAGGGGATATTCGACCAATTCTTTGATTTGTTGAATGGTGCGGCTCATGCCACCCAAACTGCGATAGCGTTCCGTGGGACGAGCAAGGGGTCTCCAGAGAGGAGATTCGTCCTGGTCGTCCATAAAATCGTCATTGGATGTACCAACCGAATTTCGACGTTTGGTGGATCCCGACTTTTGACTGGTGCTGGATTTTCGTCGATCCGATAATTTTCGTTTTCGACTCGGTGATGTCATGGTTGTCGTGTCTTCTTTTTCGCTTCCATCGGTACCTGCAGAGACTTGTTGCCGGTATCCTTTTTGCAGTGAGGAATTCAAGGACTTGGTAGGTATCGCACTCGTTGCAGCTCTCTGGGCATCGTGTTGGCGAGCTTGTGCTTCGTCCGCCGACACCACTTCTTCTTCTTGCTGTTTTTGCTGGGATGCCAGGAACTGAAGAACCGTCTGCACTTGCTTGGTCACTTTCTCCTTGTTTTTCCGTTGATACTCTGCATTTTGAAGTCGGAGTGCATCCACCACCACCTCCAATGTTTCCGTAGAGCTCAGGTACTTGCTGGATTTATTATTATCGGCATTGGTATTATTTGGCAGAGCCTGAAGTGCTTTTTGAACCAGATGAAGCAGCTTGGGATTTATATATCCAGGAATAGTGGTACTGTTGTTGGAGGAAGCATTGTTGGCAATCTCATTCGAGTTCATCTTGGACGCCACTGCCAAAGGAGGAACTCGCATGGTCTTCATCTATCTATCTGCTTTGGCTTTCGTGACAATGACAATGACATTGACAATGACAAGACAATGTGATGAGCTTTGGTGAAAAAATGAGGCGGCTTGAGAAAAGGAAAATGGCTGGTGGAAACGTCTAAAACGGACCGTGGTCAGACTGTACCGTGCCGGTACCGCGAAGGATATTCCACGGAACTGAGCGTGGAAGCGCGTAGCGTGGCACAATGCCGCAGCCAAGGCAGCAATTTTCAGGTTTTCATGCAATCGCAGCTTCAAGCTATAGCTGGTGCTTGCTAGCTAGAGCAACACACGAGAAAGACAACGAAAGACCTTACCCTGCCACCAACATGACCGAAATTCGAAAGGAAGGGACAGGGAGAGCATTGTTTGCCACAAAAGCATACGCCTTTGGCGATGAAATACTGGCGGAAACGCCGTTGCTTGCAATTCCTCGAGCAACCCCATCGGGACTACCTGGAGTGTTGGAGACGCTAAAGACTGCCTTTGCTGAGGTTGCACCAGAAAAACAGGCGATTGTGCTGGATTTGTTCTGTCCGACAATAGAAGAGCTGAAGAGAACTGGGACCCATCTTACTCAGTTTGAGATTCCGTGCGAGTATGAAGATGTGGCCAATCAAGCAAAGAAGCTATCCTGTACGAACGAAGAGGCCACCAACCTAGCAAGGCTGTTTTTCATTTGGAAGTTTAATGCAACTCAATACCAAGGCACGAAGTCAGCCGTATTCGAGGTGCATGCTAGGATCAATCACAGCTGTTGCCCAAATGCTATATTCCACGCAGGGGTGGTACGTGCTGTCCAACAAATCGCTACTGGCGACTTGGTTACGATTTCATATCTTGAAGGTCAAGACTTGCTTGCTTCAACACGCTTGCGTCGTCGAAAGCTGCAGCGTGCCTACTCATTTCTCTGTAACTGCGGTAGATGCGTACGAGCAGTCGACCTGAGTCGAACAATGCTCTGTCCAGCCTGCAATCGTTGCACCGCCGTTTGGGGGCTCTCACTCGAAGAGAACTCCAGCGAAGAAGTGGTCGCCTCTTGCATTGCTTGCAATACAGCGCATAGGAAATTAGATTTGCCGCTTGACGAGGAGGAAAACCTAGAGAAGCAAGTGCAGAGTATCTTGCTGTTGGGGGGTTCACCGGTGGAGAAAACTCATGATCTGCAAGCTCGCGTGCTGAAAATCCTTGGCGGGGCACACTGGACGGCTGCTGCTCTCATGGAGCTGCGCTACCGGAAGGATCCAATGGTCAACGGTTTCATCGTGATGCAATGGGGAGAGGCGGAGGCCAGATGGCGTAGGCTGGCAGTCGCAGAAATTCCATGGCTCTACTACATGTCGATCTTTGCATTGGGAAATGGCTGTAAGCCGCATCTACAACGTCAACAGGGTCAGACCGTTTTTGCTCTAGCTGGAAGAAGGTATTGGAATGAATGCTATGAGTTCTGCAGGAAGTTTTGGGGAGAGGAGGACCAGGATGTTCAAAACATGGAAGCCATGTTTGAAAGATGCCGAACGAGACGCAGCCGACCAGATGTTGTTGTCTGCACTTACAACAAATGCGTTAAGGCTATTGATGATCGCGTTGGCGGTGCCGGTCCAAACCTAAAAAGATGTGCCGCCTGTGGACTTGCCCGATACTGTGACAAAGCTTGCCAAAAAAGTGACTGGCATGACCACCAGGAGGTTTGCAAGAAGGTCGGAGCACTAAAGGATCTGGAGGCAGTCAAAGAATGGCTGAACACTCACCCAACCCATTTCGGATGAGCTGCTTGATGGTGCTGTCGTATGGACACCCGAGCCTCCGCAGGATCGTGAATGGCGCTATTGATGGCAAACCTATGATATTATATATTATGGCCATTAGCTAAAATCTGCCTCCTACACACCGCATTACCGTTACGGGTACTGCGGAAAGGTTGGCGCTTACTCCCTCCGAGCTCTTCGTGAGTGATGACCGCCACTTTCTAGCTTACACATTGTCGTCGCGTATTTCATCCTCCTCCATGATCTCCGGCATGCTGCTGCACTGACTTCGACTCACCAGAGTCGAGGGTGCACGACTTCCACGATTGCTCTGGTTTGATGATGTGCGATTCTTCTCCGAACTCCCGTTGCTGGTGGCGGTCACGGGCTTGTCACTCGCGGTACGCTTAATGCTCATCCGTCCCCACGGCTCCCTCTTCTTGGGAGTATCCGAAATGTCAATGTCGCTATCGTGGCTCTGTGCGTCGTCACTGAACTGAGAGGTTGTAACGTTCCAACTGTCCGCACTCACAGGAGCAGATCGGGTGCCGTGACTCGGTGGCGGAGAGTATTGATGTGGATGTTGTTGAAATTCCCGACTAAAGTTGCTGGAACTGGTTGCGTTAAAGCCGTGACTGCTTCGAAGGCTGCTGTCGAGGCCACCGCGCGCAGACGACATCTTTCTCATGGAAGCACTGACGATAGAGTCCCTTAGGGTGGTGGCGAGACTGGCTTCATTCCGTTTCTGGAACTTGGGGATGAACACTGGCAGCAAGATGCAGAGGCAACAAACAGCCAAGAGACCGGATCCCACCACAAAGAAGGCTGTTGGATTGTCCAAGGTTACAAACAGGATGGGTCCACCCAGTAACAATGACTCCAGCAAACTGGCCATGCTAATGGCCAAGTAGCTCGATTCGGAAAACTCTGTGGGTAAATGCCGTGACTTGTAACTTTGATACGTGGCAATGCCCAAGGTCGCAACGTTCACCAAGAAGATGGGTATTTGAAACCACAGCGGACTCACGGAATTGTCCGGATTGACTTTGCAGGCTCCAAAAGATTCCACGTGTCGTCCGAACATGTCGACATTGTGAGGATCATTTTCGCGGATATATTCCAATGGCGCTACAATGGTCCAGGCCGTGAGTAGCGTGACATTGATGGTCATGAGCAAGACAAAGGGCCAAATGACATCGACCACCTGAACCTGTACTCGTCGCATTTGTACCCCCGATTTGACAATCTGGTTCAGTCGCCACGCCTTGCTGAAGAGTGCCGACAGTGACACAACAAATCCCACAAAGACCAACCATGGAATGAACATGCACGCCGTATTCAACCCCATTGTGGGTTCCGTCCCCTGAAAGCCCATGGGGATGATAGCGGCCGCCATGAGCAACGTCCCCACACAGACTTGATAGAGGAACACGGGCTGACTGGCCTGTACAATGACGGCGGTTTGATGTTGTTGTACCCATACGATCCATCCGAGACTCATTGTCATGAGAGCCGCAGATAGAAACCATCCAAAGGCTTGTGCTCCAACGGGAATGAGGTTGTAATTGTGGTCGTGTACCGTCGGCAACGCGGACGGCATGGCGGTGGTATTGCCGTAGTAACGAAAGTCATGCATTTCCTGAACTTGGCCATGGGCCAACAATACGGCCAATCGGGAATCAAATCGAATGTACTCGCTATCCGATTCGTCCAGATCCAACACCAAATTGTCAATGCGGTACGTGACACTATCGGCACTGCGGGTTCCCGTGGTAGGATCAAACGAGACACTGCCGGTGACACCTTCAAATTCCAGACCACTATTTAACAGCGTCTGATAGAGTTCGGGACCGGTAAAGAGTCCGGGTGTCTGACAGGCCGCAATACCAAAGGCAATGGCGGCATCGTAATTCATCGCTTGCCAGACATTGTAATCGGGGGTGGTCCACAAGAGATCTTGCCACAGTTCCGTTTCGTAAAAGGCGTCGCTGTATTCGTCCCGCAATGTCGAATTGTCATTGGCAAACTCGGCCATGGCGTCTGAAAACCGCGGATGATCTTCGACGTGCAGTGTGATTTGTCCCATCCCGTGGAGTGCATGCGCCCATTTGAGTTCCACGGGCATTTCATCATTGTCTTCTATTTCGTCTTGACTGTCGTAGAAATCGTCCTGCAGAAAGCCTTCTTCCAGTGTGGTGGTGGTCCGATTGAGTACAAAATCGTCTGCGGTCCATTCCGTTTGTTCGGCGGTAATCCAACTGTAGTCGGGATGCCCCACAATGCCCAAATCATACGCCGGTCCCAAGACGGTTTTCCAATCCAAGAGAACGGCAAAGACGTGTTTGAGTTTGGTTGCCTGTATCTGTTCTAGCGCATTTTGAATGTTGTCTTCCGTTTCCAAATACCCCACCGACTGCAAGGTAATGTTGAAATGCCGTGCTTCCCGTTGCAAATCGGCATGATAGGCGGTTCCCCAGGCATCGGTACTGTAGAGACAGGCGACATGGGTAATGTTGCGATGTCGATAGTACAGCATGGCGGCGTGAGAATCTCCTCGATTGGTCGGTATGGTGCGTCCAAAGAGGGGAGCGCCGTCGAGAGCACTGCTGGTGGCGCTTCCGGAGAGCATGGGCAATTCCATGGTCGATGCTCCCACAATGTTGAGGGGAATGGTCACGTACGAGTACGAGGCTCCCACGACGGCAAATGGGTGTTGCCATTCGTCGGGAGATGCCAATGGGAGTTCCTCATCATCGTCTGGACTTCTGTTGTCTGGACTGTCTTGCTCTAGTTGGCGACGACGACGACGACCATCCATTGCGTGAGTATGATTGATGTGACTCCCCACAATCTCTCCTTCATGAATAATGGTAAAGGTGGTACTACTACTATCGCTCCCTTCCAGAGGACTGTTGTGATGGTTGTTGTGACTGTTCCACTGATGATCAATGACAGGATCCGCCGGATCCTCCGTCGCATCCAACAAGGCTTGCACGGCATCGACGGGCGAATAACTCGTTTCGCGTTGTTCAAAGGTCATTTGAAAGTCGCATCCTTCCAACAACGCGGGCAATTCAGGCATGACGGCACCGCTGCGTTCGTTGAAATGCTTGACGGCGAGAAACTGAGCAGCCGAAATGTACACATCGCTCAGATAGACGTAGCCGTCCCATTCCGCACCCATGATCGACAACAGACGACCCTCGCGGATCACACTCCCATCGGCACGACGACGGCGGCGGATGCGACTGGGGAGTTGGGCGGGAGCAGAAGAAGAAGTCATGATGGCCTTGGCTTGATTGGAAACAGCGGAGGGAGAGGTTGGAGAGAGATGAATGGTTACTCTGGCTGGCTAGTAGAGAGAAGAGGAGTGTTATGGTTGCCGAGTAAAGCTCAATGACCAAGAGTGCGCTTCAGACCACTGGTGGCTAGCAGGGCAAAGAAAGCGCTTTGGCAAGCAAAAGAGAATAATAATGTGAGCTCCTGGCTTCCTGCATGGGTTGATCTTGCTCCTTGCTCTTTACCATTCAGCAGTCCATACCGGTAAAGACGTTCATTCATGCTCAGCGCAAATTCTGTCGTCGCGCCTTGACACCGGTCCGCTGGTCAGGAGATCATTGGTGCCTCCAAACTCCAAAGTGTCCAATCGACAGAAAGTGACAGTAAAACTTACTTAGAAGTCAGAGTAGTTACGACTTAGAGAACTTTAGAATCTAAAAGAGGACATCCAATGTCATCCATGTCTGCTTGCTTCGGTACAGACTTAAGCCACGGACCCAAAAGCAATAAATCCTCTAATGCAAAAAGTAACCAGGGAAATAGAGTACTAAACCGGTTCTAGATGCTTTAAAATAGAAGAACAGACGGTGTCGTCCCCAGAGAAACAGTCACGCTTCTTCTTTTCTTCTAATTCTGATTTTCGGTTGGTTCAAAGAATGACTGTTGAAATAGGCCTGGTGACCGCAGTGGCGCTTTATTAGTACCGGTACAGACATCTCACAGACTGCACAGCTTTCTTCAGACATGAAGTCATGGTCAACAGCTTGTCAATACTAGCTAGAGTAGTCATTAATTTTCTTGCCGACACTTCAACCTAAAAGTCTTCTACTTGCCTTAGTTATGAGAAACAAACAATGTTTGGGGTGCGGCTGAGCACAGTACGTGTAGACCCAGTAAAAAATGAGGAAAGGGGGCAGACAGCAGCAATAGCACTTTGGCACATCAAGCTGTAATGTACTGGAGTACGACAGGGGGTAACAAACTATCAAGATTGCCAAAACAAATATCAAATAAATGAGTGGATGGCTTGCCCTCCAGTAAAATGCCTACACCAGGTACTCCCATTTGGCTTCAACAAGCATACCGGTAGATAGCAAGGAAAGAGGACAGCCTGGAAGAGACGCATGTGTACCGTACTGCTTCGAAGCAATGGATACGACCGGTAACAGCAATTCTCTTAACGTTCTTAAAAAGGTATCGTACGTTGGAGTCCCATTGTGGATTGCCGTTGGTTGAACCCGGCCCCCGGAGGTGCTCCTTATCTTTCTTATATCTGAGTGCAAAGCGAATTTTTCTACGAGAACACCAGCTTGCCAGTTCAACCTGCTTTTCTTTTCGTTCGCATCAGACGCTCTTCAAACGCCAACCTTTTAACTAGGATACTGCACAGCCGTGTTCAGACATGAAGTCATGGTAAAAAGCTTGTCAGTACTCTGTATGCATTAGTCATTTAAGACTTGCTAATACTTCAACCAGAATATCTGCCACTCGTCTTAGTTATAAGAAACCATTGTCGCTATTATACAAAAAACAAGGCTTCACTGCATGTGTGAAACTTCCAGATAGTTTCTACGTGTACCAAGTACAGTACCGGTACATGTAGTACTTGAGTGAAAGCCAACAAGGAAATGGGGCGGACAGATAGATTCAAAGGATTTTGCTCTTTCCTTTGACAATAATCAGTAATGATGGGGCAAAATCAACACCAAGCTGCACACTGTACCTTGCGCTGGAGAAGCAAACTACCGGTAGACTATCGATAGGTTGCCAAAAATTTATTATCAAATGAGTGGATGATGGTTTGCCATAAAATGCTACACGAAACACTCCCATTTGGCTGGAACAAGCATACCGGTAGCAAGCAAGGAAAGAGGACATCGTGGAAGAGGCGTCTGGTTTCCATTCCGCTTCGAAGCAATGGAAATGAACGGTAGCAGAAATTCGCTTAGATTCACCATAAAGGTAGTGAGAATGAGTGTTCCACCATTCTGGAAGAAAAACTAGACCGTTGTCAAAACTCCACCCGGGACATGCTCCATATTATTATGCTTTTATCTGAGGTCCAAGCAAATTATTATGAAAACAGCCAGCTTGCCAGTTCAACAAATCTTTTCTTTTCGTTCGCTCCCATTCCGCGAGCGACATCAGAACCTCATGAAACGAAGACCGTCATTGTGCGTCTTGCAGTCGTCCGAGCAAATCTGGTACTCCCACCACCCAACATCCACGGCAAGGTGTCAAACCAACCAAAAGTCGAGCCATCAACAACCAAGAACAGCTTTCGCAGCGCATAACAGTTAATAGCTATAGCTGCTAGAGGCTCACCATCAGCAGCAAAAGCAGTGGGATGGATGCATCGGTAGGCAGCTATCTGAAGGCAACTAAATAACCAGCGCAATAAATCAAGATTTTTCAATTGCCATGAATCCAAGAAAAAAAGCAGTTCGAACACCACTGACGCCAAGGATATTATTTCCATGCAACATCAAGACGATGATATCCTTGCTCATGATAACCACTACAAGCATGAGACCCAATTACGTTGCTCGGGGGTTTACAATTTTCACAAGACGATGCGGTCCATCCAGCCGAGGGTATACCACCCTGTCCAGGAGATCATTAGCATGGCATACTCGACACACCACCTTTGTTCGCGCCTCCATTTCTCTGCCCCAAGACCAACGAGAGTACAACCAAACAACAACCTTTCAATCAAAATCCCAAAAAAGGGAATATTCTCCAAGTCGCACTATAGAAAGTTCCGGTCCATCGGAAGTCTTGTCTTCTATACAACACTATAACGACGACGAAGAGGTTACCGCGGACAATTGGAGAGAACATCCCGACTTGAACCCCACCTTGACATTTCCAACGTGGGCCGTCCCTCTGGAACACGCTTCTGTTCTGCAAACACTGCTATCCTCGGAATTGACACAACCATTCTTGGCGACTCGACACGAACTCCTTCAACAATGTCATCCACGGCCCAAAATTGTCCAAGATGGAGATAAACACAAGTACATTTTATTGGACCCTCAACAACAACAAGAAAAACAGCTACCCACCGACCTGATCAATTTACTGCAACAGCACCATGTCCAACTCCAGGGACCCGACGTGACAATTCGCATTCGCTACCATCAACTCCCCATGACGTACATTCTCCACAAGGTTTTGCCTCCTCACGTCCATCCACCCCCGACCGCCTTTGAAACGGTCGGACACGTCGCCCACTTGAATTTGCGAGAGCATCATATACCTTTCGCAAAATTGATTGGACAAGTCCTCTTGGAGAAATCCTCCACCATTGAAACGGTCATTCATAAAGTCGGACAAGTCAATGGTCCCTTTCGCACGTACGACTATCAACTCTTGGCCGGACGCAATGATACCATCTGTCGTGTCATGGAACACGGGATTCAAATGGAATTGGATCTCGCCAAAGTCTATTGGTCGTCGCGGTTGGCACAAGAACGACAAGTGGTGTTGGAGCAAGAAATTAGGGAGGGGCAAGTCATTGCCGACGCTTTTTCCGGTGTCGGTGCCATTTGTTTGTTGGCCGCACGCGACAAGAATTGTACCATTTTCGCCAATGATTGGAATCCACAGGCCATTCATTATTTGAAACGGAATTTTGCCACCAATCGGTTGCGGCACCATTTGGTCCAGTCCACCCATCAAGATGCTTACGAATTCTTGATGGATTTGGGATTATCGTCTTCTTCTTGCGAGGAGTTGGAGGATGACGAAGAAGAAGCAACAGCGTCGAAAAGTAGTAAAACTACGCACTTGGTGGATCACGTGCTGATGAATTTCCCTCTCAAGGCACCCACGTTCCTGGGAGCGCTACGGTGGTGGTCGCCACCGTTGAGCGAACACAGTCCTCGTCTACATGTGTATACGTTTGCACGAGCCGATGCCAAGACGGGTCGATCTGCGCAAGATGTTGCGATTGACATTATTGCGTCGGAACTGTTGCCACCCATGGGCTTGGAGGACGACGACAATGACGACGACGATGATGGGGGATGCCATCACCGACAGCAGGAACTGAATGATGAGTACGGATGCCAAGTGGTAGCGAGAGAAGTACGAGACGTGGCTCCGGGAAAGCTAGTATTTTGTGTGAGTTTCACTGCCACCCCCGAGCTGCTGAGAGTCATGCAAGGAAGTTTTTAAAACAGCTTGAGAGCTAGCTAGTATCATGCACCACATTTTCTTGTAAAGACGTGGACCTTCGATTAGACTATACAGTTGAAATCATCAACTTCCCCTGAATCTTCGTATTAACTAATACTACTAGTACCAGCCTGGACCAAGTACAGCGTACTGCACATACCTTTACTGTAACTCCTTAGACTGTATCACCGCCTTGAGGGCTGGTCCTAACCACATTCATGTGGTTCGTACGTTCCCACAGGAAACACATTTATTTTCGCGTATGTGTTTTCATTCTTAACCATTCGCAGATACGTCATTCGCGAACTCTCCCGAACTCTCATCAGCAGGGTTAGGGTGAAACTATCCCAGCAAGATTCTGCCAAAACGCAATCACCGTGCGTCAGGAAATCTCGTGATAATAGCACATGATTGTTCTTTGAAAGAATCTCGTTGGGGGCATCATGTTGATTCTCGTGCATCTCATCATGTGGATCCACAGGCAATCACATGTGCATCCCTTTGTGGCTCCTCTTTCACCACAATTTTCCTTTTTTTGAGTTCTTCCTATCACCGTAATCGAATCGAATTGCACCGCACTCTCCACTCGTTGTCATGATGAGTGAAGATGGCAGCGACGGGTCCATTGATATAGGACGGCAACTACGGGAGTCTGACGAGCGGAACAAGAGGAAGAGAGAAGAAGCGGAAGCCGAGGATTCTGAGTCGTCATCGAGGAGTAGCCGTGCTGCCCCAGTCCTGGCCCCAGTCGCAGTCGCAGTCCCAGTTGCAGTCGCAGCCCCAGTCGCAGCCCCAGTCGCAGCTTCCCTCCCTCGTCCACGTCTAAGCTTGCATGAAATACAACACCGACACCAGATGCAGATACAGCAACTGCATCAACATCGTGCTCTTGTAGTGCCGGCACCTCCTTTGGAATACTACGAGGATGAGTTTGGCCAAGACATGTACATGGGGCAACTCAAAGCCCAGGAGTTACGGGAACGACCACCACGCCATAGGATGGTGCGTGATGAATCTCCTTTGCCTATGGTAAATTCCAGGTCCGCCTCACCGGCAGAGAGAAAGGCTGCCAGGGAGGTGAAAGGAAGAACAAAGAAGAAAAAGCTTGCCGCAGGCTTGCCAAGAAAACCGAAGAGCTAGGCTGGCCAAGGTTGTAGCAACAATGATTGAGGGGTATCAGCACGCTGATCACAAGCATAAAATTGGAATCGGGCAAGAGAAGAGCCCTAAAGACGGCGAGATTTACAGTGTCGCTGTGTCATTCACAATGCGTAAAGGAAAACCAACCGAGGAAGTGTTGGACTTAACCAAATTCAACAGCAAGGATATTCGCGCTTTTGCTCTAAAGTGTGGAGTGAAGGGAGCAGGTAGCAAGAAACTGTACGATTGCAGGATGGAGATTGCCCGCAGTGTTCAGATGGGAACGATGTACAACGACCAATCTATTTCCAACCCAGGATCGTCTTCCGCAACGAAGAGGATCAACACTCTCATTAAAGTATTGAATATTTGCTTCCACGCTAACAATTTCAATGACTTTGTTTCTCTCAACGACAGTAAGCAACGAAAGGACTACGAACAACAGCCTCTCTCGGAGCAGGGAGTTACAGGAAATCCGGTGAAGGACTTTTGGGTTCTTGTGTCGAGCGAAATGAACGAGACATCGGACGACTCTTTCGATACCGTCTTAGGGCTGATAGAGGGGGAAGACGACAGGCTCTTTGCATGGAACGAAGAACACGGTTTCAACCTGAATGACATCAACCGTGGACAGGATTTTAAGTCAGTTCGACAGCTTGTGTGTGATTTGATGAAAGCGCGGGAGAGATGTCAGTTGGAAATGAAGAAGTCTGGCGAGGGCAGCAACGATCTGTGGACGTACTGCACAAATCCGAAGTTCACTAAACCCCGGCAATCTACTGCAGTTCTACCGGCGGTTGCTGTCTACTACTGTAACCATCTTTGCCTCATACATCCGGCCGTTGATGGCAAGTTCGCTGCGTTTATGAGCGACAATTTGAAGAGTGACTCTACGATAGCATTTACTGGGAGTGCCGATTCCGGCGGTGGCAAAGGTGGCAAGCAAGCTGTTGTGGCCGTTATGGAAGCTATCACCAATGTAAGTACGGATCTTAAGGAATCAATGTCAATCCGAAGGAAAGATATGTCGTCATCAGATGAAGCCTCCAAAACGAGTGTCTGGAATGACTATTTCGACATTGGCGATCGGTATTGTAAAGTGACGAGTATCCGCGTCCCTTCCATCCCCAACTCTTGCCCGATAATGTCTTTAACCCCATCTCTATGTCAGATTTTGGTTTTTGCTTGGACACTGGTCAGGGAAAGCCAAGACCAGACCAAACAGCAACGTGAGGTCCACTTTGTTGTTGTTGCTACGGAAGGCTGAACCACACCGAGTGCGGAATGGAGGCATTAGTTTGAGAGGACCTTGTCTTGCTAGCTTCCTGCTAGTAGGTCAACGTTTTCAGCCAAAACGATCTTGTCGGCGTCGGGGGGAACACATAGAGTTCTTGCGTCGTTCGGCTAGCCAGTTGTGTGTCGTGGCTTGTTCCATGCCTCTCTTTGGCCCTTTGGCTTCCATCATGTTGAACACTTGATTCTTCTTGGTATGTTAGATTCCGACCAGCATCCGCTATTCCAACAAGTTTCCTTGTCAGTGTGAATACGGTAGACAAGCGAACACAAGGTCGAGCCCGCCAGCGAGTGGGGCAATGGCTCTGGTGCACGTCTAATCGAACCAACAGGAGCGAAGACGTCAATTTCTTGATTGATCTGCTTTGAAATGTCCCGTCTCGTCGCTCACTCGAGCAATGGAGTGGAAATGATTCATCGAGTTGGGATTCTTTGACTGCTGCCATTTGCGTCCGTCATGAAGACGGGATCTCTAAGGTGGTTGGGGTGGTCTCTGATCAGCGAACAGACTTGGGACCAATCCGCATCGACCCGTTGAAGGCGTATGCAATCTGCCCGTGCTTTCCCTTTGTGGAGTTTCAGGGTTGCAATGGCGCAATGTCAGATACCTGCGAGCGAGAAAGCTTCCGTTATCGGCGCCAGTACGGGCGGCGCAGAGCGATCAAACCGGGCAGCTCGCACTTACCAGCTGGACACTGTAGTTTTGCTGAACCATCAATCCTGTCACAATCAGCACGATCAGCACGAGAGGCTGGACCTCTCAAATGCTTGCTCGGATCCACGTCGATTACATAGACGACGGAAACTTGCAGCTTGCAGACACGGGGCAGAAAGAGCCAAGGGTTAGGCAACATGCATCGTCCGTTTGGTTATTGGTTGAAAGGATTTTCTTCAGTCGCAGTGGAAAACATTGGTGGAAGACAAAAATGAAACAATACGTACCAATTGAGCAATCTACAATTCACTCGAGGATGATGCTCAGTTTCGAATTGGAATCTGGAAACATGCCATACTGTGCTCCTGCCATGCTCCTCAAGCACAATCAATTACGACTCTGGGCACCTTTTCACTCCAAAGTGGCACCCGCTTCAAATTGAACGCTGGAACAATGCAGGTTGTTGCGATGCGAAATCGCAATCATGATCAGCATGGGCGCGTCTTATGGAAGCGAGTACGCCTCTTCGCATTGGATCTCGAAGCGTGCTATGTCGATGTGGTGATCATCAATCACAATCACAAACAAAACAAACAATTACAATTGAGCTCCCTTGAGCTGATGCATGCCAGGGCTTTGCCAGTGATGGCGACGATGATGTGGGGTTCATGGGCGAGAAGATACCGGGAGCACAAGATGGCTTTCGTGAGCAAAACAGCAAAAGTGAATCTCGAATTGCTGCCCATGATACTCCCCCACCAAACAAAGTCAGTAGAGCCCTTGCTGGGGAGAGGAGTTCAGCCAGCATGCAGCATTGAATCTGACGTTGGGCGTGTTCGGAACGGCTTGGTCTGCCATCGGAGTCACCTTGAAGATGACTTGATTCTGCTCGAGTTCTGATTGCCAACGAGTTTGATTTCCCTTGCTTTCCTGTTCAACAACTTGGTGGGTCCATTCTGGCAATTGCTGCATGAGACTCTAATGGTCCATGTAGTCTCGCCAAGCGAAACTGGAACATCAACATTAGGCTGAAGGCCGACCCTCCTTTCTGAGCATCCTAAAGTGATTGTCCTACCGATTCAAATGCCTTGAAGATGAAAGAAGAAAGGAAATAGACGATGGGCCTTGTCCTTGCACAGCCGGATCTTAGTGAGCCAACTTGAATTGAATTACTTACTACGGTTCAGATGGAGTGGACAAAGAAGGAAGGAGGCAATGCTATTGGATATGCAATAATATACGGCATGTGTGTATGTTTTCGCAAAGCGGTTCTTATCAATGGGATCTGAACTGTCATTCAACAGTTAGCAGGATGTAAAAAGACGCAACCCAATACTGTTCCACTCCATCCTCTTACCGGTACTTACGTGTGAAACTCAGTGTTTAACTTGGACACTCAACAAAAAGAAAGGCAATTCTATTGCTGCATCCTGCTCAGAAGACCATATGCATCTTTCGCAAAGGTCCTACCGGTTCACCTGTCAAAGGTCATAGCTATCTCTGATGTTGTGATCGGATCTCTCAGGTAAATATTGAACTGTCAAGATGCCCAAGAGTGTTCTCGTGCAACAGTAGCCAATTTCAAAACACGGAACCACATCAGCTGCTTTGCTTCATGGGAGATGGGAGTGGAAAATCCAGCAAGTGAAACTCTCCAAAAGCCTCTTGCTGGGTTGGTACCTTACAGGATGCCGCTCCCAGTCGGAGTTTATTGTACTACCGCACCACCATGAATCGAAACAGCACAGCTTGCCAACGGACGCCAGTGACCGTAGACTTGCTGCTTGAGGTGATGTGCGAAGCGGCAACCTGTGTGGCGAACGACCGAGATGAACGATGACTTTGGATTCACACCGATCCGATCAACCCTGGAAACTATCCATCAATCCGCTTAAGCCTCGTCTTGCTCCACTCCAACCATCACCCAGCCAGCGCTTTTGTATGGAAGTGCAGACTCGGCGTTTGGTGCTCTGGCAGCCTTCCTGTCGACCGGTATCCTGTGATATGCCGATTATTGTTGCTTCAGCCTTGTCCACACAAGAGGATGTGCAGAGTTCTGTTGTTGTGAACCATCGGTGATTTGGATCAACCCTGAACATCTTGCGTACCACCTCGGGGAAAGTGGGAGTGAGGAGAAGTCGTCCTCTGCTCCTGATTGGGTTCTTTCGTCGAAGCTTTGGAATGATCGATGGTTAGTACCGGTACCAGTATCGGTGAAGCCCTGGAAGTCATCACCCCCAACAAGCTTTGCCCTTCCCCGTTCGTTCAACCTTTTGATTTCTAGAGTTATAATCGTAGACAACATCATCTATCTGTGAATGGAGGATTTGTTGACCAGTGGATGTAATGCCACAAAGGATCCTCTTCATCAAAATGTGAATGAACCTCAAGTAGAGAAAGCAAAATTTGCCAAATAAATTGCAACGATGGACCACGAGCAACACTTGCTCCTTAAACAGCACAAAGCTTCGGTGTTCTGGGGAGTTTCCGACTTGACGAAGAGACGAAGACAGTTCAGTGGTTTGAGAGAATTACCATTGCATATAACAATCGTTACTCTCCTCTAAGTATGGATTGCTCCTTATTACGGGAGATACGAGTTTTTATTTGATCGGGAAAATCGTGACATCCCGTTACCTATTTGTCGTAACGGTTTCACACTACATAGGATGATGATGTCCTGTGACAATTGAGAAATCTTTTACTATTGACTCTTCTGTACACAAGTTGTGTGCCTTGCTATGTTCCTGCAGCAAACAATGTGTGTCTGCCTTCACTATAGCTGTGCTGTACACAAACCAAACAAGGAAAGACAGCGCGCCAGCATCATGTCAACCCTCATGACTTGGTTGCCTTCAAGATTTACCGTACTCGAGTACTGGTACTATGCTTCGAAGTAGTACCGTAGTAAGGTAGGGGACGATGCTACTATTAGTATCTTGCCGCTTTGGGAGCTCAAGGCTGAAGGGCAGAGAGCAGCGAGGCTTTGAGTGGTCGTCGCTCTTCTCACTCTCACAAATCCAAATCCCCACAATCCAAAAACCCAATCCAAAAAGAAAATCAACAACATCTCACCAACCAACCGTAAAACATGATGATGATCAGCACTTCTCCCTCTGCCTCTATGGCTCTCATCAACGTCTTGGCTGAAGCAAGCAAGGCCACAAATGGGGGCTCCGATTTCAAGCCACTTCCCACCAGTTTCAAACCAGGTCCCAACGATGTTATCTGTGCAAGAGGCAAAGCCAGACACCATGTTGGCAATGTTCGGTTCATGACAGTTGTCGAATCGCATTACCCGAAGTACGCTAATGCCAAAAACAGAGTGGAAAAGTCCTTGATTGTGTCTGAAATCGTGGACCAAATCCGGGACGACAGCCCTCTTGGAGGTTTCGTCCGCCCTGAAGGAGGCCGCTGGTACTTGGCCACTGATGCCACAGCCAGAGAAAAGTTTGGACAGCGTCTTCGCGATCTTGTTGGCAGCGGCAAGTATGCATCCAGTTCCAAGGCCAAGAGAAGCAAGCGCCGAGCCCATGAAGCTATCCTTGCCAGCAAGGTTGGTGATGTCGTCGCATCACAGCAAGGAACCAGCTTGGCCGACCGAGTAAAGCAGCTTGTGGCAGAACGCAACGTCCACAGGAACGATGATGCCCAAATGCAATCGATTTTCAACCAAGCAAACGTTGAGCTTCTCCAAAGACTCAACCGCAACGCATAAACAGCATTCCTCCTACTATGATCACATCGAAACATTCATCTATCCTATTCCTCCTGGAAAACATGTACAATTCACTTCCTTTATACAAACCCAATACCTCTAGCCTCCAGTTACTTCATTCAAACGATTTCTTCCTCGTACTTTCCTTTCAGTAGAGCTACCCAGTTGTACATGTATGTACTCTACCACAGTTGCTGCAGTTGGAAGGTTTATTGTTCAGTGATTTCCCAGGCGTCTCCTTCTCCTTGCTAGCTTCCTTGCTTTGTCAGTTGCCCATTGAACAGCAATTCTGAAAGCGCTGAAAGGAGCTGAAGGGTCGGCGGAGACGATGCTAGAAGTAGCTATTAATAGCTAGCTAGAACAGGCTCTCCAAACCGGACCTCAATCTTCAACATTCAACATCTTAAACCTCCCTTCACCTCCATTGTCCACTGTCCTGTGCCGTACTGTACAGTACCAGTAGTCTTTACTGTGAAGAGTCACAGTACTCGAGTAGCGCTTTTACGTCAAAAGCTACCTGGTACAACTCTATCTGTACTCTGTAGAAGTAAAAAAGCGACATCGCTGTTTTGAGAGACAGGAAGGCGAATTTCGGTGTTAATTAATCATTTTTTACTTTGTTGGCATGTCAGCAATTCTGTTAATCCTTTCCTTTGTCAGCATACATGTATTGTCCAATTTACAAGCAGAGGCAGTACTAGAGTACAGTACTGTACTCAGTACTCAGTACTCCTGTACGGTATAGAAATGCATGTACCACTACGGCTGTATATGTACAAACAAGTAGATGTAACTCAAGTAAGTACCGGTATTGGCCTAGTACCTAGTACCTAGTACCTACGGTACGGTAGCTACTAGTAGTGGACAATTTTGATGGAATCGAATCGAAATGTGCACTGCCCCTTTTGCACCAAACAGCTTACTGAGTACTGGAGTACTCAGTACTAGAGTAGGCATAACGCTATTTTTAAATTTTAAATACTAGCAAGACTCTAGTATTACGGTACGCGGTGCGCAGGCTACATGTAAGACTCTCTGCAGTACGGTACGGTACAGTCGTACGCCTGGGTGCGTAAAAGACACAAACAAAAAGGGTGCTGGCAGCACGAAAGAGGAACGAAAGCATGGGAGCATGCAAGCTTGGATACAAACACTAACAGTTCCAGTCCCAGCCGAAAGAAGAATAGCACAGGACTGAGGCCACGAGCTTGCCAAACTCAATACTACTGTACCGCTATGCTAACATACTGGTATTAGATTTGAAAGGGACACAGAGGCTTTTGGCGCTGCCTCACTGGTATAAGCTAAGGCGGCCATCTGGCTGCCATCCACACCCTGCAGTCGTTGTTGTCTCCTCTGACGGGGCCAAACCGCCGAGAACGAGCAGCCAACAACGAGAGACACTTTGCCTTACACCGAGCAGCCAACAACGAGAGACACTTTGCCTTACACCCCTGCAAAACACGAAGGCGAAGTCCGAATGACTATTAATACGTGTAGCGAGGCATTTCCGCCAAAAGGCAATCGCACATTGCATGATGTGCGTTCCTCCATGCACATCAAGCACAACATCAATGCACTTTGAACTGGATCAAATGTAGCTCTACGATTGTTTCAGCTCTGTGTGCTGTATGATATGAGTTTCCTTCATCTGCGACTGCAAATGAAGCCTTCACATGTGGCGGTTCGATCGTCCAACGAGGGAGTTACCAACTTACGAGGCTGTTCGCTCAAAGTCCACTACCTGGTAGTCTGCCCGTTGCCCAGTCGACGGACGTTGATCTCGTACATGATACTCGTCTTGTGTGTTGCCCGATACAATTTCTTTCTCGAGGGGCCATCCTGCATTCGCGCCTATACTAGAATTGAGTTCGTTGCTTTGATCTGTTTCAGCCAGTGAGGTCGTGTACCAGGGTGAATGATCGAACCGTTTTTTTAAAAGGCCCGGAACATCAAAGTCTCTCTACAGGTACATGCAGGTTGCTTAGCATCTCGTCCCAAAGCCATGTGCTGGAAGTAAACGAATCTTCGAGGATTTGCTTCTGCAGATCAGCAAACTTTGTTCGTATCTTCAAGTAAGTAAAGTCAATCAAGCGGTGCTCATTTTGGACCTTTCTGCTTTGGGGCGGCATCCTGGCCTTCCTTGGAAGTAGTGGTATTAAAATCAATAGGTCCTTGAAATTGTCCTTGAAATTGATCAATGTCCTTCCCTGCCCCGTCAACACATCAGACTGGTAGGAGAGAAAGAGAGCTTCAAATGGGTAAACCATAGAAACGTAGAGTCGAAGTTGTTTTCACCTTCAAATGCCTCTTGAAGGTGTAGTACGTACTCTGGACCCCATCCATCATCCGTGATCAATGATTCGATCTTCGGCACCACTACATGGTGCAGCTACCTTAGACCAGCAACGCCATCTGACAGCAAGTTCTTGAGGTGAGCCATGCATTCCGTAACAGGCAAATATGGTTCAGGAGCTGGCCTACTCTACAGGTTGAGCCTGGTCTAATCATACCGGTAGCTCATACGATTGGCTGGCTGAGGATTGGGATAGATCAATCGTTGGTCTCGCCGTGTATGAGCGGCAGTCCCAGCCCCAACATTGATCTGACATGAAGCAAGATCTGTCAGAGTCCTCCAATAGGGGCGCTGGTTTTTGCTAACGCAGCCAAACCACGTGTACACAGCTTCGGTATGTCCAAGCTATCTGCCTAGGGTGTTGATTTGGTGGGCGTCGTCCCCGAGTTAGTCAAGCTAGTAGGGATTTGTCCAGCAGGTTGCTTCTTCAGCCCAGGTTTAGGGCTTGGGCTGCCGCACAGGGCTGCAGAGGTGCAGCCGAGGTGGCTGCGTTTAAAAGTCCAGGTGTTAATAAGAGGGTCGCTCCAGGGATACTGTAGTAGGTCATTGCCTCCGACGCTTCCCCAATAGCCCATGACCTTCTCGCAGCCATGGAAACGTTTTTGTACAGCAGAAATAGTCCTCGAGGAGTAACTGGCAGCTGCAGGTGGAATTTGGTCCATGCACTGTACTCCGAAGATTCGATTCGATAGAAGATTCGATTCGATTCTCTCCGTGGGTGGTATCTTTTAAGGTGAGGTAGGTCAGGTAAATATATACTCATTGATACAAAACCTTGAAGTAAATTTGACTTTAGCCCTAAACGTACCTAATCTACCTGATAAGGTGGTGGGGCTTCGATGAAAAATTCGATGAGGTGAGATTCGTCGATGGAAAGCGTGACGCTCGCCGCGATGACTGCATGCATGATGATCGAAGGCTTCCTGTGAGAAACTCAAGGGACTTGTGCGTGGTGTGTGTTATGAAAAATGTGGCAGCGAAAGCATCCGCCAAATAGACATAGTCAATTATCATCGGAGTACACTTAGTTGAATTCCAGCATCACTAGTAGCTACCCTACTAGTAGACTGAGCCAAAGAGATTGTATCAAGGCAAAAGAAGTGGAGCTAGAGAGGTGATGGCGAAGAGAGATGGCAACATGGCGGGCCAGGAAGGATGGGCTCAAGACGATGGCACCATGTCCACCATTACTGCGACGGACAACAGAGTCCCGGTTGTCTCTGTTTGTTGCGGTCGAAGTGGCAAACGTCGCAAGTTCAAATTGAAAAAGGCACTGAGAAAGACGGTCTTTTGGAAGCGTCGAAACAAGTACTTTGATGCGCAAGTGGGCAACGTGGAAGCATGGGCAGGAGACGAGTTGGAACAGCAAGAATCTTTTGGTTTCTTCTATTTTGACGCCCAGGAAGACGTGATCAGCGACTATGACTACAATCTTCATCTTGGCGACCTGTCTCTTCGAAGCAAGAAGAAAGGGGCGCCTTCGACCATTCCCGAAGAACAACTGGATGAAGCGTCGATATTGACGCCCAAACAGAAAACTACGTCTATACCCATTGAGGAGCTCACGCCCGAGAATGCAACCATCGAACAACTGCTACAAGAGCTGCAAAACCCCAGCTTCAAATCTCCCAAAACTGGACAATCAGGGTACCCAGGAGGATTCACTCCGGAGCAATTGGAACAAGTTGTAAGTCGGGGAAAGAGACAAGTCATCATATTTGGAATCTGGGGGCAGTTCACTGGAGTTGGGACACTCTCCTGTTGCATCGATGATATGCTGCAAACGCTCATTTTTCCGTTTGCCTCTTACTCCACAGGAAATTTTCCTTCGCGGCTTGGAAGAAGCGAAAAAGACTAACCCTGGAATCTACGAGCAGGTATACTCATACCTGGATGTAGAAGACATGCCCATGACCATTTCGAGGTGTATTCGGGCCACCAAATTCAATGCCCAAGAAATGCTGGACCGGTTGATAGCCAACCAAGAACAGTTCGATCACGCAAAGTCGAAACAATTTTATCCCAATGTCGATGAGGCTATTGGGGCTCCATTTTCCGTCTTTTTGAGTCAATACCCCTTTGTCGGACTCGGACGCTCCAATCAATCACTCCCCGTCAACTACTTTCAAGCGGGAAAGATCAACCCCGAAGGTATCATGGCACTAACCACGGTGGATCAATTGGAAGGATACTACTGGTGGTCATTCATGTACAAGTTCAAGCGAGAGCTGCGGGAGGCTCGACTGCACGCACCCGACAAGACTCCTAGTTATGGATTATGTGAGGCTGTCACAATCATTGATCTACAAGGATTGTCAGCATCGGCGTTGTCCTCTGATACGATGGATGTCATCAAACTATCCAGTAAGATTGCCGATTTCTACCCCGAGGTAAGACAAGTTTCGCTACGGTGTGTGTCGCCCAAGCTCTTGCCACGTACTAACTTACTTATGCTCGACTTTGATACGATCGATTAGACGCTGCACAAAATGCTCATTGTCAATGCCCCTGGATTCTTTGCCATGTCCTGGGGTATCATCAAAAAGTTCATTGATCCTCAGACAGCAGCCCGCATTCAAATCTTCTCCAACAAGAACAAAGCCTTGAAGGCTTTGCAGGAGATGGTGGATATCGATGAGATTCCTTCGGACTACGGTGGTAACAACAAGACCATCAAGGAAGCGCTGATGAACTGGTCCACTGATCCCTTGCTGCTTCGGCAAGAGGTTGAATTGCTTTACATCAAGAGACGAGGAAAGGCGCATGGTAAGCAATCTTGGGAGCTGAAAGAAGGAGAACGAGTGGATATCACAGTCTACACACGCAGTGCTTCAGGAGCCAAGATCACTGTGAAAAAAGACGATAACGAGGTGCAGAGTGTGGAGGCATTCTGCGCTATGGAGGGTGACACGATCAAGTCCAACAATTGCAAGATAGACATGGGCGACTTGGTTGGTCCTTGTACTCTATCCTTGGAAGCTGACGACTTGGACACGGTGGACAAGAAGCATCACAAGGAGTCTCGGGGGTATTTCTTGGTGGTTGGTGACGTCAAGAAAGTGGTGTAATTAGAAGAAAAGAATGATTCAATCGTTGTCAACAAGCAAGACGACGAAGGCCCAACTTTAGCAAAAGAGCGGGCAACAGAAGAATGTACAATACAATAGCTGAATGCGTTTTTTGATTATGTGTACTGCATGCTTGAGAGACCAGTAGGAATGATAGTGGTACAGGTGCTTTTGAAACTATCTCACAGACGGTACCTACGGAAACTTTGCTCAAGCAGCCAGCGCGCCCCCCCGGACATTTCCAGGCCCCTTGTCCCAGTAGTGTTACATGTACTTGGAGAAGTGCCATTCCTTGCAAGACCTGCACTCTGAATGCTGGACAAGCTATTTTAATAGTAGCTAGCTAGCTAGCTATGCATACAGCTAACAAAGGAGGTGGCGGTACCGGTGGATTTTGATGAGCTCCTAATCTCACTCTCACATATGTCACAACCTTCAGTTTTGGATTACTTCCGATCGCCAAGGATTAAGTAGAGATCAACATCATTAAATCTTTGAGTGATCAGTTGAGAAATACTTACATACTGTAACGCCTATACTCGTCGGTTGGCTTTTTGCTGGAATTTCCATCCGTCCCCTCATCGATCTCTCATCAAGTCATCAAGGCAGAAGATCTCAATTGCACATGGTGGACAGCCATACTCAAGCAATGAGTTGGATTGCTCGAACACTGAGCTCCCGTAGCGCAGCAGCTGAGATATCAGTGGACGGCAGTGCGGGAGTTGCCGCAAAGATGGCAGACGAAGCAGACATACGGCACATCCTCAGTGAGGGCGCAATCGACGGGTACAAAAGTGCTGAGAATGAGAAAATTCTCTCCACCAAGTTTTCAGCTGAAGAAGTCGTTCGAGAACGACTGAAAATGGAAGAGGAGGATCCTTTGTTGGAGTCTCTGACCGAACAATCTCAACCAAGCGGAGAGACCAGAGAAGCCAATGAGACCGAATCCCGTCCAAATCACTTGGTGGCTCCCACGTCAACAACATCCTCATCTACCTCGTTTCACGAAGAAGCGGAACTCTGGCGACAAAAGGCCGCGCAACTGGAAAGCACCCTCACATCTCTCCAAAACCAAACTGACGAAGAACGCAGAGCTCATGAATTGCAATTGAACTCTGTGAAGAAGGAAGTCGACCAGTGGAAAGAGAAAGCAACCGAAGCGGAAACCAACTCCCAAAAGGCCAAGGAGGAACTGGGACAGATTCGAGCCAAGGCACGCAAGTTAGCTGTGGAAGCAAGACAGACAATGGAGGCCGGACAGCAGGAGTCCCATTCCATTGTCATGTCCTTGCGACAAACCATGAGCTCCCTGAAGGACGAGTGGGATACCGAGAAAGGTGAACTCACCCAGACAACTTCGGAGTTGGCAGACAAGGTGAAAGATATGGAGATCAAGCACGCCGAGACCTGGGAGACAGCACGAGAGCAAGTTAAAACATTACAAGAGAAACTAGCCAAGACGGAAGAAACTACGAAAGCAACTACTGCCAACAAGGACTCTGTCATTGAGATCCTGCAGGAGGAAGTGGGCGCACTAACACTTGAGAAGAACACAGCTGTGGCTGCCAATGAAGCTTTGCAAAAGGAACTGGATGAAGTCAAAGAACAGAACACCCTGGCAGCAAAGGGTATCGAACACTTTCAAGATCAACTGCGAGTGCTGGAACAGGGCGTCTCAAAGAAGGGGATTGAGTACCAGGAAAAGTTGGATTTGGTAGAGAAGTTGCTGGAGAACTCAAACGAGGCCAACGAAAAGCTCAATTCGGACTTGTCTGATATGCGGGATGAATTGATTGCGTCCAAGCAGGAGATAGTCGCATACAGTACAAAGACCGCCCGGCTGGATCAGGAGCTGGGCCGGGCAAACACAGAAGCCCGGAAGGTTCCATCGTTGGAAGTTGACCTGCAACGAAACAAGAACCGCGTCGTCTTTCTGGAGCAAGATGTGGCGAGCAAGGAATCGGAGCACAAGGTACTGGTAGCCGAAATCAAGGCATTGAAGGAAGAAGTCGGCAAGCTCCCAGCGGCCAACCAACGGATTGAAGTGCTGACGGCAAAGGGCGACGCGTTGCAAAAAGAAGCAGACCAACTCCCAGATGCCCAACAACGCATCCGCGATTTGATAGTTCAAAACGAGGCGACCAAGGCAGAGTATGACCAAGTCATCACTGCAATGGCCGCGAAATACAAGGCGGTGAAACAAGTTGCCGAACAGCTACCAGCTGCCAACCAACGCGTCCAGGAATTGACCGGCGAGAGCTACCAGCTTCAGACACAAGCAGAGAATGACCGACACCAATTGGAGGAGACCATGAAGGAGTTTGCCACTGTGCGAACACAACTAAAAGAGACGATTGCGCAGCTTGAACAAACCAACGAATTTCGAGCGGTGCAACTGCAAGAGGCGGCTGCGCGTATTGAAGCGTTGCAGGAACAACTACAGTCTGTCCAACGGGAGAACGAGGAAATCAATCAAGTGAAGAAAGAGATTGAAGCCGCATACACTGTTGAGCTAGGAGAGCTCAAGACTAGGATGCAGCAAACCCAAGGAGAGCAAAATCTCATTGTAGAGGTGGCTCAAAGCGAAAGCAAGGCCATGCTCAGCAAGGCAGTGGAAGCTCAGTCTCTGGCAGATGCTACCTCTTCCCAATTGGAGAAGACGACAGCCATGCTTGAGTCGTTGACTGAAGAGAAGGCGCAAATATCCATTGTGTTGAATTCAACTAAAAATGAGCGAGATGCACTTCAGAGCGAGTGTGACAACCTGCAGACCCGTGTGGGAGAATTGGAGCAGGACAAAGTCAAAGCAAGGGCAGCAAGGGAAAAGCTTTCTGTGGAACTTGAGAGCGTTCAGGAGGAACGTGATGAGCTTCACCATCAGGTTGCTGCATTGATACAGTACAAGGGCAAAGCGATGCCGTCTATCAAGGCATTGACCGAAACAAATGAAGGGCTTTCCATGGTGCTCGAATCAACTACAGAAGAGCGAGACTGTCTAAAGTCTCAGGTGGAGGAGTTGGAACAATTCAAAGCCGAAAACATCGGGCATCTCAAGACATCTAGGGGCGCAGAGCAACAGCTTTCTCATTGGCTTGATGCGACCCGAAAAGATCGTGACACCTTGCAAACTCAAGTGGTCGAGTTGGAACGATTCAAAGCAGAAGCTACGATTTCGATTGAAGAATTGGACTCAGAGAAGACGCAGCTTCTAGAGGAAAAGGAGAAACTTCTTTCGGAGCAGGAGTTGTCTCAAAAGGAACGCGAGGACCTTCAGTCGCAATTGGAAGAATTGCAGCGGTATAAGATTGAAGCCATGGCAACGATCCAGTCCTCTGAAGAGGACCTGAAACGCGCCAAGTCAGAAACAGAGAAGATCAGCGCAGAGTGCGATGCTATGATGACGGAAGTGCAAGGGGTCAACGAATTGAAGGCAGGGCACCAAAAGGCAATCGCCAAGTTTCAGACTGCTCTAAAAGAGGTGCAAGATCGATATTCGGACGAAAAGAAGAAGGTGGAAGTCGCCGCCATTCAAATCGAACTCGCGGCAGAGGAGAATGCGAAACTTCAGGTTGCCGTCAAGTCGCTCCAATCGACCCTTGGACTGGCTCAAGCGGCATCGAGACAAGACAAGTTTCTTTCGGATGAGTCATCAGCCACATTGGCTGCCCTTACGAAGCAAAAGACTGAGCTCCAAGCGCAGGTGGAAGCTCTGCAAAAAACGAAGACGGAACTGGAGTTGTCCACAGTGTCGTTGCGATCTTCTCTGAAAGAGGTTCAAGGCAAGTATGAGCAGGAACAAGGTCGTTCTGCGGAAGCTTTGTCCAGATTGGCGGTCGCTGAGGAGAGCCACAAGACCCTTCAATCCTCGTTCAAATCCATGGAAACTGCCCTCAAGGAAAGCCAAGGAAAATCAATCGAAAACCTAACCAAGGTGGAAGGCGCAATTTCTCAATTCAAGGCCTCGGAGGAAGCTCACAGAGTACTGCTAGAAACCGAGAAGGAACAACGGGAGCATCTGGCTGCTGAACTGGACGAAGCCAAGCTGGCTCTGCAAAGTGCTCAACAGAAGATTGAATCCGTGGAATCGGAATTGGCCAGGACCAAAAGTCTACTAGAGGCTAGTGCTGGGGATGCTGCATCCTTCAACAAACACGTCGCTGAGTTGCATGCTGAAGAGCAGAAGAGCTTGACCGAGCAAATCACAAAGCTTCGGTCGGAACTTGAGGTTGCTAAGGAGGAAGCCAAAACAAAGGCCGGGGATGCTGAATCCTACAACAAGCGAGACGCTGAGTTGCACGCAGAAGAAAAGAAAAGCTTGATGGAGCAAATCACCAAGCTTCAATCGGAAGTTGAGGTTGCCAACGAGCAAGCCAAATCCAATGCTCTCGAGATGTCTTCGACGCTTGGCAACGAAATGCAGCGCCTTGTCGAGGAGCGCGAAGAAGCTTTGAGGATGAAGCAGGAGTTGGAGAGAGAAATGCTGCGAGTGGCGGAAGCGCGAGACATTGCAGTCAAGAGCAAGCAAGAGTCTGTAGAAGAAGTCCGACAGAGCATGCAAGAGCTGGAAGAAGCGTCTCAGCAACAGAAGAAAGAGTTGGAGATCGAGATGCAGCAACTGAAAAAGGAAAGCGCAGCAAATGCGAAGACCAAAGAGTCGCTGGAGGCTTCTCTGGAGTCGGCAAGGTCTAGTCTCGAGTTGACGACGTCCAATCTCGAGTCGACAACATCCAGCCTCAAGGCTCTAGAAGCGAAACATGCCGACCTCAAGTTCAAGCTGGAGGCAGTGGAAGAAGAGCTCGAGCAAGCGAAGGAGACGATCGACAAGCTCCACGTCGAGCAAGAGACGGGCGGCCAGCAAGACGAGGAAAGTGCATTAAAAGAGTACAAACAGAGAATCAAGAGGCTACGAGAGGAACTAATTGCTGCGAAGAAACAAGGCACAGCGGAAAAACAACGACTTTCCGGAGAATTGAAGACCTTGTCCAAGCAAGTCACTGAATTGGAAATGGCAATCGATTTGAAGGAGAACGACTTTGAGGAATTGCAGGTAACTCTTCAAACAACCAAAGTTGAGCTGGTGAAAGCCCAAAACGAGCACAGCGGGTGTGCATCTGCGATGGAAGCCCTAGAAACCAAAGTGTCTCAGACGGAAGAAATGCTTCACGATCTCCGCCAAAAGGAAATAGAAATGATGGAGAGCATGACCCATCTTTTGGAAGAACGAGAGACAAATGTGAAGGCAGCTGATGATGCACAGAAAGAGTTCGAGTCTGAGCTCAACGCACTGGCAGAAGAATTGAAGAACACGAAGGAAGCAGCTGTGCAGTCGCAAGAAGCTTGGGAAACCTCCACATCCTTGCATGACTCGATGCTGAAACGAATCGAAAACCTGGAGTCTACGGTGGAAGAAAAAGTCAAGCTGTTGGAATACACACACCGCCGTTTGGAAGCAGTACAAGCGGACAACGACGACTTGGAGAGGCAGATGGAAGCAAAGGAAAAGATGAAGCCATTTTGGCAATGTGGTCCATGATCCCATTGATACTGGTACCTTCCTGGTCCTGCGCAAACCGCTTGAACAGTCGTGCAGCGAATGGCACACAAACTCCGTTTTCTTGCTTCCAACCATGATGCATGATATGTTTTTGCGATCGTTCGTTTTGAATGTAGTGTAACTTCTGCCTGTATGTAAGGGGCGTCTATTGTTATCATCCAACTGTGCACGAGCAACAGTACTGGTGCCCTCGGATCGGATGAATGATGAATCCTACAAAACCTCTCCACACGTCGGAGCAAACTTAGTGGATGTGAAGTAGACCGATTCGATTGATTCAATCTTTCTTTTTTGGATTGCTGGAGAGAACACACGGTATCGTTACAGATACGATACCATTACAGTATTATTAGCTACCGGTAGCCTACAGTCCGTGGAGAGCAGCCTGCCACAATAAAAAGACAGCCAGGTGCACCGATACATGTACCGCTACTCGTGCGGTAGGCAAAAACCGGCAAGCCCCTTTTGCTGCCCCAGTCGTGTTTTTCCATCGACAAATCTCCTCTCCATGGCCAGAGCGCATTTTCCTGCATGTACCGGTACCACCAAGAAATCCGGCAAGCCCCTTTTGCTGCCCCAGTCGTGTTTTTCCATCGACAAATCTCCTCTCCATGGCCAGAGCGCATTTTCCTGCATGTACCGGTACCACCAAGAAATGACGGACCACAAGAGAAGAGTTCAGCAGCTGCTGAACAAAATATACACAGAAGCAAACCCAACAATAAAGGAATCACTCTGGTGGGACCTTTATTTTACTCTTCGGGAGCGACCCAGACTTGCCTTTGATTGGGTTCCCTTCCTGCATTCCGATACAAGCTCGATTCCATTCTTACGTCTACTTGGAAGCCGAGTTGTTGACGAGGCAAGACTGTGGGAATTAGCCAACGGCTGCCCTGACAACCCCAATGAAGAATCCAGGATCGTTCCTTGTCTAGAAGATTTGTGGGACCTAATGACATCCCCGCAATTGTTTGAACCTGACCCGGTGGAGATTTCTTTACCTCCAGACTCCAAAGAAACGGGAACACAAGGTGAAGAAGGACAAAGGAACCTGATATTAATACTCAAGAAGACCATACTACACATCAAGCACTGTGTAAAGATTTGTGTCAAGGAGATACCAGACTTTTCCTCCATTCCGCATTGGCTTGCCGCAGTACACGACGCGCTCCAGAAGATCAAAGAGGAGCCAAAGGCAATCCAGTGTACTAAACAAACAGCAGGCTCTGCTGCGTTCAAGTTTAACTCAGAA